TGAATTGGTGTGTCCTACGGACACAGCTGACCATGTGATGTAAAAGGCCAATCACAGCAGCCTTTTACCACGTGATCAGCCGTGTCCAATGAAACGTGGATCACCGGGTAAATGCAGTTGCCGGCTATCGGCTGCACTTTCCTCACACTGGCACAGCGTATGGAGGGTACTGCCGCTAACTGGCAATTGTCAGAGGAGGGATCTGCACCGATCATCAGGGCAGTGATGGTCAGTGCCACCCACCTGTGCCCATCAGTGCCTAGTAGTGCCACCCACCTGTGCCCATCAGTGCCTAGTAGTGCCACCCACCTGTGCCCATCAGTGCCTAGTAGTGCCACCCACCTGTGCCCATCAGTGCCTAGTAGTGCCACCCACCTGTGCCCATCAATGCCTAGTAGTGCCACCCAGCTTTGCCCATCATTGCCTAGTAGTGCCACCCACCTGTGCCCATCAGTGCCTAGTAGTGCCACCCACCTGTGCCCATCAGTGCCTAGTAGTGCCAAGTAGTGCCACCCACCTGTGCCCATCATTGCCTAGTAGTGCCACCCACCTGTGCCCATCAGTGCCTAGTAGTGCCACCCACCTGTGCCCATCAGTGCCTAGTAGTGCCACCCACCTGTGCCCATCAATGCCTAGTAGTGCCACCCACCTGTGCCCATCAGTGCCTAGTAGTGCCACCCACCTGTGCCCATCAGTGCCTAGTAGTGCCACCCACCTGTGCCCATCAATGCCTAGTAGTGCCACCCAGCTTTGCCCATCATTGCCTAGTAGTGCCACCCACCTGTGCCCATCAGTGCCTAGTAGTGCCACCCACCTGTGCCCATCAGTGCCTAGTAGTGCCAAGTAGTGCCACCCACCTGTGCCCATCAGTGCCTAGTAGTGCCACCCACCTGTGCCTAGTAGTGCCACCCAGCAGTACTCCCCCATCAGTGCCAGCAGTCAGTGTCACCCATCAGTGCTCAGCCGTGTTGCCCATCAGTGCAGCCTCATCAGCGCACATCAGTGAAGGCGTAAAATTACCAGTTTGCAAATTTTTTTATTTTTTTTTCAAATTTTTTGCCCTTTTTTTTTGATTATAGCGCAAAAAATAAAACACCCAGCGGGGATTACATACCACCAAATGAAAAAAATTTAATACGGGCGCAGTGTTGCATGACCGCACAATTGTCACTCAAGTGCGACAGCGCCGAAAGCTGAAAATTGGCCTGGGCAGGAAGGGGGTAGAAGTGTCCTGTAGGCAGGAAGGGGGTAGAAGTGCCCTGTAGGCAGGAAGGGGGGTAGAAGTGTCCTGTAGGCAGGAAGGGGGTAGTAGAAGTGTCCTGTAGGCAGGGAGGGGGGTAGAAGTGTCCTGTAGGCAGGAAGGGGGTAGAAGTGTCCTGTAGGCAGGGAGGGGGGTAGAAGTGTCCGGTAGGCAGGAAGGGGGTAGAAGTGTCCGTAGGCGGGAAGGAGGTAGAAGTGTCCCCTGTAGGCGGGAAGGGGGTAGAAGCGCCCTGTAGGCGGGAAGGGGGTAGAAGTGCCCTGTAGGCGGGAAGGGGGTAGAAGTGCCCTGTAGGCGGGGAGGGGGTAGAAGTGCCCTGTAGGCGGGGGGGGGGGGTAGAAGTGCCCTGTAGGCGGGAAGGAGGTAGAAGCGCCCTGTAGGGCGGGAAGGGGGTAGGCGGTAGGCGGGAAGGGGGTAGAACGCGCCCTGTAGGCGGGAAGGGGGTAGAAGTGCCCGGCGGGCGGGAATGGGTAGAAAAGCGGGAAGGGGGTAGAAGTGCCCGGTAGCGGGCGGGGAAGGGGGTAGAAGTGCCCGGCGGGCGGGAAGGGGGGTAGAAGTGCCCGGCGGGCGGGAAGGGGGTAGAAGTGCCCGGCGGGCGGAAGAAAGGGGGTAGAAGTGCCCCCGGGGGGGAAGGGGGGTAGAAGTGCCCCGGCGGGAAGGGGGTAGAAGTGCCCGGCAGGCAAGTGGTTAAAAAAGTAAAACATGGAGAAATGTGCATCGCAGAGATGTGCGGATCGGGATTCGTTTTTTTCCCGACATTGACTGTAAGGAGGATCATCACGGATCACACGCCTGTCTTTGCGTGACATGTATGGCTGTACATATAGGAGGTACATGTAACATCTTTGGTTTGTTTCCGTGTTCTCCATGTATATAAACAGACAAATCACCACCGAGGAGGGCGAGCAGAGAGCCAAGGAGCTGAGCGTGATGTTCATTGAAACCAGTGCCAAGACCGGGTACAATGTCAAGCAGGTAAGTGGCCCCCCATTCTAACCCAGCCATTGTACGATTCCTGCATTCACCATGCGTCACGGGCAGACACCCGGAGCTAGAAGTCGCTGATCGCCGCCATCACTAGTTTAATTTTTACTAGTGATGGCGGCGATCAGCGACTTATAGCGGGGCTGCGGCGGGCATTCTGACACGGGGGGGGGGGTGAACTGACTTGGTGTCACTGACATCCCCAGTGACACCAATACAGTGATCAGTGCCAATAAAAAGCACCGACACTGAACTAATGGCGCGGAGCAGGAAGGGGTTAACGCGGGCGATCAAAGGGTTAACCCGCGGTTTCGAGCGTTTTTTTCTGCCGCACTTTTTGAGTTTTGCGGAAACGCAGCACAGTCCATTTACCTTGATTTTTTTTGATCAAAAAATAATAATAATTCTTTGGCGCAAGTTTGATACATATTTTTGAGAGGTTCGCATCTCCGCGTTTTCACCCACTGCGCTTTTTGGAAAGGGGCGGGGACTTTTTTTTTGAACGCAAAATGTTGCGTTTTTTTTTTTTTTTTTGGTTGTACAGACTTCAATTGAAATGCTGCAATGGAGTGCGGTCCTGTCGCGTTTTTGACGCGTCTTGCGTTTTAAATCTGCCTAGCAACAAGAAAAATTAAAAAAAAGGCGGGGAGACAGAACGCGGTAAAAAACGCAATGCGGAAACGCATCAGACGCAACCTGCGTAGGTGTGAGCCTATAGGTGTGCGTGTTACTAGGGAGACATGCTTTGTAGCAGCGTGTTGGTGCTGACAGGGGAGAGGTCCGTGTTGTTTACATACAGACCTCTCCTCTGTCGCTGATCCTCGGCGATCGCCGGGTGCCGGCGGGGAATCTCCGGCCGGTACCCCGGTGATTGACAGCTGTAGCCGCCAATGGCGGCTCTTCTGCGCCCCTACTTGGAAATACAAAATCCTATATATACGTGATTTTGCGCAGCCCTGCCGCCGTGTAGCAGTACTCCTCCTATAGGGCGGACGGGAAGCGGCGGATTATATCGCGGATGTAACAGATCTTTGATCCGTGTTCACCTTCTGATTGTTCCAGCTCTTCCGCCGCGTTGCTGCTGCTTTACCCGGCATGGACAGCACACCGGAGAAGAGTAAAGAGGACAGTATCCTTTGTCATTGAGGCCACACGAGGCTACACAGCGCAGTCTGGGTCAGTCATGAAAGAAAATGCTTTGTTTTAGAAGACCCAAAAATTTAAAAAAAAAAAAAACAGGTTTGATATAACCCCATCCTATAGTGGTAGAGGACACTGAATGGAGGCCGGTGGAGGGATTGGCAGAGAGGGGTGGAGGATACTGAATGGAGGCCGGTGGAGGGATTGGCAGAGAGGGGTGGAGGACACTGAGTGGAGGCCAGTGGAGGGATTGGCAGAGAGGGGTGGAGGATACTGAATGGAGGCCGGTGGAGGGATTGGCAGAGAGGGGTGGAGGATACTGAATGGAGGCCGGTGGAGGGATTGGCAGAGAGGGGTGGAGGACACTGAATGGAGACCGGTGGAGGGATTGGCAGAGAGCGGTGGAGGATACTGAATGGAGGCCAGTGGAGGGATTGGCAGAGAGGGGTGGAGGACACTGAATGGAGGCCAATGGAGGGATTGGTAGAGAGGGGTGGAGGACACTGGATGAAGGGATTGGTAGAGAGGGGTGGAGGACACTGAATGGAGGCCAATGGAGGGATTGGTAGAGAGGGATGGAGGACACTGGAGGCCAGTGGAGGGATTGGTAGAGAGGGGTGGAGGACACTGAATGGAGGCCAGTGGAGCGATTGGTAGAGAGGGGTGGAGGACACTGAATGGAGGCCAGTGGAGAGGGGTGGAGGACACTGAACAGCTGGGAAGGAGGAGGAGTCAGAGGATCGCCCGTGTAGAGTTCGGCCAATTAGAAGGGAGTTGCAGCAGTCAAGACAAGAGATTCCCAGGGAGTGAAATAGTATATTGGTACAGTCCATGTTCCAGAGCCCTCCGGTGGTACAGTCCATGTTCTCAGAGCCCTCCGGTGGTACAGTCCATGTTCCCAGAGCCCTCCGATGGTACAGTCCATGTTCCAGAGCCCTCCAGTGGTACAGTCCATGTTCCAGAGCCCTCCGGTGGTACAGTCCATGTTCCAGAGCCCTCCGGTGGTACAGTCCATGTTCCAGATCCCTCCGGTGGTACAGTCCATGTTCCAGAGCCCTCCGGTGGTACAGTCCATGTTCCCAGAGCCCTCCGGTGGTACAGTCCATGTTCCAGAGCCCTCCGGTGGTACAGTCCATGTTCCCAGAGCCCTCCGGTGGTACAGTCCATGTTCCTAGAGCCCTCCAGAGGTACAGTCCATGTTCCAGATCCCTCCGGTGGTACAGTCCATGTTCCAGAGCCCTCCGGCGGTACAGTCCATGTTCCCAGAGCCCTTCGGTGGTACAGTCCATGTTCTCAGAGCCCTCCGGTGGTACAGTCCATGTTCCCAGAGCCCTCCGGTGGTACAGTCCATGTTCCAGAGCCCTCCAGTGGTACAGTCCATGTTCCAGAGCCCTCCAGAGGTACAGTCCATGTTCCAGATCCCTCCGGTGGTACAGTCCATGTTCCAGAGCCCTCCGGCGGTACAGTCCATGTTCCAGAGCCCTCCGGCGGTACAGTCCATGTTCCAGAGCCCTCCGGTGGTACAGTCCATGTTCTAGAGCCGTCTAGGAATCTTCTTTCCCTTAACCCGCCCCCCCCAGTGATTGACATCAAGCTGGAGAAGCCCCCCGAGCAGCCAGTGACGGAAAGCGGCTGCTCCTGCTAACACCTCTGGACGTTCCGCGGTGCGCACCGGAGATCCCGCTGCCGTCCAAACGCATCGAAGAAAGGAAATCAAAGTGTCTATTTATCTCTTAGATTCCCAGTGTGTGGATGCAGTGTGTGGTCCGTCATCTTACAGGGGGGGGGGGAGGGTGGGAGGGGTGGGACCCCCGGGAACAAAGACACAAAGCCCGCCTCATCTCACTCAAACTGCATGGTGTTGTGTACGGTTGGAGAATGAGATCTTCTGTATGTATAGATTTTATTTCTTGCACTTCGGTGGCGCCCTCTCACCCCCAGAACCAGGATATGGGGGGAGGGGGGGTCCCTCTTAATTCTCTCTCAATGTGACAAACGTTAATGGAGGAAAAAAAAAAAAAAAAGTGTGCCGACGTTCTCGTTTGTTGCGGCGAATGAGCCAGGATGCAGCGGTGAGACGGGACGCACGTCGCACCTTCGGTGTCATCAGCGCGAGTCGAACGTTTCAGATCGGCAGATTTCTTTTCGCGGGTGAACTTTTTATTCAGAATTATTTTTGTATCCGATTTTTCGGAATCCTCGTGGTAAGCGGCGAGCTCTCCTCGGCGGCGAAAGGATCGGCGTCCGTTTAAAGCGGAAGTAAACCTTCGCATCGTCGGCCGCGGCGCGAATCCCCTGTAGCCTTCGCCTTGCTGAGTGACGGCCGGACGCCGCTGTGACATCACTCGCGCACTTTCACTCCCGGTATGCTCGGCGAAATTTGCCGAATACCGGGGGTGATGCCGTTTTCTTTTTCCGGTATGGCGCGATTTCGCCTTTCTCTTCCGTTCATTGAAGGACGCAGCAGATCTTCACGATGGATGGGTCTGAGGCCGCCACCTGCAGGAGCAGGACGTTAGGTGCTACGAAAACTACACTTGAGGGGCGGCCCCCATTATTCCTCTTGTATAAAACGTATAGACTATGGGGCAGATATGGGGAGGGGGGGGCAGTGTAGATACCGCCTGGTGTAGTCAGAGTCCACAGGGTAACATAGTCCACTTGTGGCAGCTTAAGAGTTAAAAGCAATCTCTACATCACGGGTGTCATGGCGGCCCTTCAGATGTTGCCAAACTACAAGTCCCATGAGGCATTGCAGGATTGGCCGTTACAAGCGTGACTCCCAAAGGCAGAGGCATGATGGGATTTGTAGTTTTACAACAGTTTGACACCCCCGCTCTACATGCACAAAAAAAAACAGGAGAAAGGAGAGCGCCATCTAAGTGCAGTACATCCACATTTTATTTGGTTCAAACACATGGAAACTCGCAGGGGTGTCAAGCTGGCGGCCCTCCAGCTGCTGCGAAACTACAAGTCCCATCATGCCTCTGCCTTTGAGAGTCATGCTTGTAACGGTCATCCTTGCAATGCCTCATGGGACTTGTAGTTTGGCAACAGCTGGAGGGGCTACCAGTTTGACACCCCCGCTCTGCATGCACACAGAAAGGAGAGCGCCATCTAAGTGCAGTACATCCAACTGGAGGGGCACCAGTTTGACACCCGCGCTCTACATGCACACAGAAAGAAGAAAGGAGAGCGCCATCTAAGTGTAGTACATCCAGCTGGAGGCCCACCACTTTGACACCCCCGCCCTACATGCACAGAGAAAGGAGAGCGCCATCTAAGTGTAGTACATCCAGCTGGAGGCCCACCACTTTGACACCCCCGCCCTACATGCACAGAGAAAGGAGAGCGCCATCTAAGTGCAGTACATCCAGCTGGAGGGGCACCAGTTTGACACCCGCGCTCTACATGGACACAGAAACAAGAAAGGAGAGCACCATCTAAGTGCAGTTTGACTCCCCCGCCCTACATGCACAGAGAAAGGAGAGCGCCATCTAAGTGCAGTACATCCACATTTTATTTGGCTCAAACACATGGCAACTCACATGTTAAGGGATAAAAAAATTTGTCGTCACATCAGAATCACGCTTTCCCCATCCTTCTGGTCCCTCCAGATGGTAACGCACACAACCGCTTGCTGTTTGACAGGGCTAACGCTGCTGAATGAAACGTTTCACGTTTTCCGAGACTGCGGGGGCGCCACAGAAGGTGGTCAGAGACTGCAGGCGTGCCATGGGATGTGGTTAGAGACTGCAGGCATGCCATGGGAGGTGGTCAGAGACTGTAGGCGTGCCATGGGAGGTGGTCAGAGACTGTAGGCGTGCCATGGGAGGTGGTCAGAGACTGTAGGCGTGCCATGGGAGGTGGTCAGAGACTGTAGGCGTGCCACGTGCCATTGGAGGTGGTCAGAGACTGCGGGCGTGCCACGGGAGGTGGGTTGGAGACTGCGAGCGTGCCACGGGAGGTGGTTAGAGACTGCAGGCGTGCCATGGGAGGTGGTTAGAGACTGCAGGCGTGCCATGGGAGGTGGGTAGAGACTGCGGGAGTACCATGGGAGGTGGGTAGAGACTGCGGGAGTGCCATGGGAGGTGGTAAGAGTCTGCAGACTTTCCATGGGAGGTGGTCAGAGACTGCAGGCGTGCCATGGGAGGTGGTCAGAGACTGCAGGCGTGCCATGGGAGGTGGTCAGAGACTGCAGACTTGCCATGGGAGGTGGGTAGAGACTGCAGGCGTGCCATGGGAGGTGGTTAGAGACTGCAGGCGTGCCATGGGAGGTGGTTAGAGACTGCAGGCGTGCCATGGGAGGTGGGTAGAGACTGCAGGCGTGCCATGGGAGGTGGTTAGAGACTGCAGGCGTGCCATGGGAGGTGGTTAGAGACTGCAGGCGTGCCATGGAAGGTGGTCAGAGACTGCAGGCGTGACGCAAGAGATGGAGACTGGGGACATAATACAAGAGATGGTCAGAGACTGTGGACATTCCGCAGTATGACTACATCCAGTAGATGAGACCACGGGAGAGACTTGTAATTTCTATGGGGTCACCATCTATTTATTTTCAATACCGTCTGCAACTGAACCCCAATAATGTATTCCTATCTACCAGAAAAGAGACTGTCCGCACTTCAATGACATCAGCATTAATACAACTTTATTGTTCCAGACAATGAACAAGCCCTCACCCCTCCTCTTCTGATGCCCTCCCCCCTCCCCAATAAAGTGCTTAGTCTCTCAAACAAAACCTTATTGGGGTGAAACGTCAACCGGTCGGATCGTCTGCATCGGTTGTCTGGAACAATAAAGTTTTCCCAATGCCGATGCTGATTGGTCCCTTTCTGTGTGGGGAGCAGGGACGCGCTCTGTTTGGCGCCCATAACACAGGCAGACCAGACGTGGGAGTGGCGCCCTCTCCTGGGGGTTCTACAGTATGTACTCCCAGCCACTCAGCTGCCCCTTCACCCGAATATCGTTTTCTGAACTTCCTGAAAATATCCGATGCAGATTTCCTGACTCACCGCGTTATCTTCGACTTGGAGCGAACTCTGCGCCGCGAGACCGGTGACGTCTGCTAATAAAAATGACGTTGGCGATCTCGCCTCTTCGCACCGTCCTAAGTCCTGATGTGCCGGCCTTTTTTTTTTTTTCTTTTTTTTCCTTTTTTTTTCTTTTTTTCTTTTTTTCCTTTTTTTTTCTTTTTTCCATTTTTCTTTTTTCCTTTTTTTTTTTTCTTTTTTCCATTTTTCTTTTTTCCATTTTTTTTTCTTTTTTCCATTTTTCTTTTTTCCTTTTTTTTTTCTTTTTTTTCCTTTTTTTTTTTTCCATTTTCTTTTTTCCATTTTTTTTCTTTTTTCCATTTTTCTTTTTTCCATTTTTTTTTTCTTTTTTCCTTTTTTTTTTTTTTTCCATTTTTCTTTTTTCCATTTTTTTTCTTTTTTCCATTTTTCCTTTTTTTTTTTTTTTTCCATTTTTTCTTTTTTTCTTTTTTCCTTTTTTTTTTCTTTTTTCCATTTTTCCTTTTTCCATTTTTTTTTCTTTTTTCCTTTTTCTTTTTTTTTTTCCATTTTTCTTTTTTTTTTTTTTTTCTTTTTCCTTTCTTTTTTCCTTTTTTTTTTGCACTTATCTGTTTGAAGTTCTGCGACAATAAAACACAGAGCCACCTGCATTTCTTATCTGAGACCTTTGACCGGC